CAAAAGCAGGATAAATCCAACCCAGCTAATTACTGCCCCATCAGTCTCCTCTTGATCATTAGTAAAGTGATGGAAGGTGTCAGTAACAGCGCAATCAAGCAGCACCTGCTCAGTGATGCCCAGTTTGGGTTCTGCCAGGGTCACTCAACTCCTGACCTCATTACAGCCTTGGTTCAAACATGGGCAAAGAGAACTAAATTCCAGAGGTGAGGTGAGAGCAACAGCCCTTGATATCAAGGCTGCATTCAACCAAGTGTGGCAGCAAGGAGCCCGAACAAAACTGGAATCAATGGGCATCAGAGGCAAACTCTCTGGTGGTTGGAGTCATACCTGGCACATAGGCAGATGGTCGTCGTTGTTGGAGGTCAATCATCTCAGTTCCATGACTTCTCTGCAGGAGTTCCTCAGCGTATTGTCCTAAGCTCAAGCATTTTCAGCTGCTTCATCAATGACCTTCCCTCCATCATAAGGTCAGAAGTGGGGATGTTTGCCAATGATTGCACAATGTTCAGCACCATTCATGATTCCTCAGATACTGAAGCAGTCTGTGTTCAAATGCAACAAGATCTGGTCAATATCCAGGCTTGGGCTGACCCTTTCTGAAGAAGGGTCCTGACCTGAAACACCAAATTTCCTGCTCCTCTGATGCTGCCTGACCTGCTGTGCACCTTCAGCTCCACACTGTGTTATCTCTGACTCCAGCATCGGCAGTTCTCACTGTCTCTTTGGGCTGACAAGTGGCAAGTGACATTCGTACTACACAAATGCCAGACTATGACCATCACCAATAAGATCTAACCACCACCCCTTGACATTCAATGGTGTTACCATCACTGAATCCCCCACTATCAACATCCTGGGTGTTATCATTGATCAGAAACTCAACTGGACTCACCACATTAACACAGCGGCTACAAGAGCAGCTCAGTGTCTAGGAATACTGCAGCGAGTAACTCACCTCCTGACTCCCCAAAGCCTGTCCACCATCTACAAGGCACAAGTCAGGAGTGTGATGGAATACTCCCCACTTGCCTGGATGGGTGCAGCCCCAACAACACTCAGGAAGCTTGACACCATCCAGGACAAAGCAGCCGCTTGATTGGCATCACATCCACAAACATCCCACTCCCTCCACCACCGATGCTCAGTAGCAGCAGTGTGTACCATCTACAAGATGCACTGCAGAAATTCACCAAAGATCCTCAGACAGCACCTTCCAAACCCACGATCACTTCCATCTAGAAGGACAAGGGCAGCAGATACATGGGAACACCACCCCCTGTAAGTTCCCCTCCAAGCCACTCACCATCCTGACTTGGAAATATATCACCATTCCTTCAGTGTCACTGGATCAAAATCTTGGAATTACCTCCCTAAGGGCATTGTGGGTCAACCTACAGCACATGGACTGCAGCGGTTCAAGAAGGCAGCTCACCCCCACCTTCTCAAGGGGCAACTAGGGAGGGGCAAGAAATGCTGGGCCCAGCCAGCACCCCCCCCCCCCCCC